TCACGCAGCATGACAAATGTTTCAATTCAAGTTCTCAAATATTATGAGTTCATAAAAAAAGAATATGTACTAATTATAAATCATTTAGGAGATGTGTAAAATATCACATAGCGGGCTACACTACAGCATATTTAGCCACCGATGATACGGCTAAAAGCCACGTCAAATTTCATGCATTTCAACTACCGTAGGCTACTCCACACGTAATTTTCTTTCATACCTCGATGTTCACTCCTCTTCAACAAAACCATCTTTAATCCCATCGTAATAATCATCTTAAATTTTCATTTTAAAAATCCAATGACAGAAAAGTTTAAATATCACCAATAGTCCACCAGCATTATATGGTTTAATCTCGTATTACTCCCAAGCGTCACCTGGCAGTGAGAGGCGGTACTGCAGTCGCGCGCGCTGTTCTCTGTCACTGTCTCTCAGCAGTAAATAAAACAGGCCTCAATGGACAGGCGGGATTCTCTATTTCACGGTATGAACGGCCCTATGGACGCATCTGACAAGCAGATGCTCTAGGCGGGATTACATTCCTGTGCCTCGATGATAGTGTATCGATTTTTATTCCCAACAGCCAGTGTAGATAACTCAACGCTAGCCGACCTAGGCTTCATCTAGGCTAGGCCTACATCAGAAAACAATTAAATCAGCGAGTTTCGACAAACCTACCTGGAAATCTGAAGAATGTACTATGTAGCACTGAAATATTTCCCCTCTCGATCCCTGTTCAAAATTTCAAATCATCTCAACACAATAAAGTCTCGTGTTGCTAAATGACCGTTAACGGCACGTGCGGCGTACGATTTCGTGTGAAATTTGAAACGAAGTGTATGAATGCCATCAAATTCACCGTTCTTCACTTAGCATAATTTAACTTTTATGTTAGATGTCAACTAATTTCTGTGTTTGTTTTTCATTACCTTGTGATTCTAGCAGCAGGCCAGGCGTAGTACCCATCGTCCAGAGTGCACTCTGGGGTTACTCGGCCAGGCAGTGCTGTATTTGCTTTCACACTCTCAAGTTCAGGAAACGGACTGTTACGTTTCTCACCGATAGATGGCAGAATAACACAACTTTTCACCAGTTTGCTGACATCACTCCCGGCACAAGGGGGCAGCACCTCCTTAACGTCTGTCCACATCAAGTGCAAAAGGAAGTAAATAAAGTTAAAAAAAACACACACACACAAAAAAAAACTACAGAGCTTTGATTATAAAATGAAGCATTTAAATATCATCTTAGATATATTAGTGATGTATTAGAGATACAGAGTGACGAGTTAAATTCCTTTTTTGTGAGTTGTCTGCTTTCTAGGCCTATATAAAAACACATTCCCCTGGTTTCACAGACAAGGCTCAAGAAAGCCTAATCAGAAACTTAAAATAGTATGTTATCTGAAGTAAATTATTTAAGCTGATTTGACAAAAGAAATTATGTTTTAATTACAAATCAAAACAAAAAGGTAGCACAGCTGTTTTCAACATTGATAATAATAATAATAATAATAATAAATGTTTCTTGAGCATTAAATCATCATATTAGTATGAAGGATCATGTGACACTGAAGACTGGACTAATGATGCTGTACATTCAGCTTAAATATACTAGAATATATTACAATGTAGAAACCGTTTAATATGTTTTCATATATTAATATGTTTTACTTAAAAAAATCTCAGAAAAGAGAAGTTATGAGAAAATTCAGGTCTAGCATCATTTGTTCGATAATTTTGTCAATATTTATACATTTTAAGTATAAGCATATTTTAAGGCCATATTGAACTGTATTTCGATGCAGGCTGTACCTCACCAGCAAAAAGGGTCACCAGTTGATCGAGAAATATTGTTAATGAACAAAAAACGGATCTAGCCAACACAATGTTTTCAATAAAATTAAGAACATAAAATCTTGGTCCTGTGTTCACATATATATCAGCCATGTATTAAGAGAAAGTCACTGATAATGATTAACAACACCAGGGTGTGTTGTAGCCTATTGAGGTTTAAATTTTAGATCATTTTCTGTTTTTTTTTTTTTTTTTTTTTTTTTTTTTTTTTTTTTGCATTAGTTTATAAAAAGTTTTTGGAGAGAAAGGGTAGAAGCAGAGTTATAATTTGTATTCCCACGCTGCATGAGACCGTATAAATCTCACCCTCTGTTTGTGTACGGTGTGGCTGGTTTGTTTGAGTAATGAGGTAATTAACTCAATCACGACACTCAGACAGATGATGAATTTTGTTAATGCTTCTCCTTTGTTCTCCACTCATTTCTGAGCAGGTCTTTTTCCTCTACATTAACCCGACATGTGCACACACACACACACACACACTGCATCTTCTTTGTGGAGAACATTGCAGCCATGCAAATGGGCCAGAGAGAGGAACCTGTTACTAAGTGGAACTGGAACAGGGCAAAACAAGATATAACAGAGGCGATTTCTTCATGTAATTGTTCATTGGGGCAAAGTGCACCATTGTGCAACAGTCTGGGAGTTAAATTGCAGATCACTGACATTTACCTCAAACACTGAGATAATGGCAGCTGCCGGGCTGTTTTCACACTTTGCTCGATCCCTTGGTCTAAACCACTCCGTCAGCAGGCGTCTTTTCACATTGCACTTTTGGGTCTGAACCACATTGTGTCAACGACCTAAACACCATGGTAGCTGTTTAACACTGGATGAAAATAGCAGTTTTAACGCATTATTTTTATTTATTTTTTTTACTTATGCACACAGAATGGCACATATCAAATGCAATGACAATGCTGTAAAGGCCGCAACATGCTCTCTGGAGGCAATTTACTCAGACACAAGCAGAAATGCATTACATAAAATAAGTGTGACATGTGAAGTGTGATGCTATATGTCATCAATAACAGTTTGAACTGATTGCAAGCTGTACCAAAGTTAACATGAGCCATAATCCAGACTTCTATTCTGATGTCAATGACCCTCAATGCTTTTAATACTTCTCACATATTTATAATATGTACATCAGAATATAAGCACAGCCTTTATACAACTGAATGCTCAAGTATTACTTAAGCTACATTTCCAAAGGTCAACAGCAAATGAAAACAGGTCAGATTGAACCAACAGATGAGGAGAAAAATGAACTCCACCTGTCCATTTGCCTTTCAACACCAGCAACAACAATTTCCCCTTTTTCTATGAAAACAGCCAATAAAAATTAGTTTAAACAGCCACATTTCATATAAAATATAATATATCACCATTCATAAATGCACTAAATCTAACAATATCCTGATTGTTCAGTCCTGTGAAAAGTGCTGTCAAATTTCCTCAAAAACTTGAGGCATTGTTTGAGGTTCATCTAGTGAAACCCAATTTCAAAAGGTCAGGGGCTGTATTCACAAAACAACTGCAACCATAATCACACTCTCTTGAAGAGTTTATTTTAAATAAGTAATTACTTCATGACTGCTAAAAAAAGTAGTTCTATACAGTAACACTTGTGTGTATGAATGTAATCTGGACTTACATCTGCCATTCCTTATCATGCGTCCTACCTTTCCTATCATGCGATCAGTTGCGTCCCATTCACTGCCACAAATCCTCCCCCTGTGGCCTCATGGGATAGTAAAGTGTCATGCTCTTCATAATCTCGCTGGAAGTAGTAGGTCATTCACTTTTTGCCTATACTCTTTTATGAGTTACTGTGAATTTTGTTTTTTGTGTGTTTTTTTAGCTATGGAAGTATTCGATTTCAGATGCAACTGAAATGTTTTGTGAATATGGCCCCATTGACCCTTTTCACATTTCCGGGTTTCACAAAGCGGAAGTCGTTAGTTGGGTAAACTTCTAGTGGTGAATGAGAGACTAGCCTGCAATTAATATTTTTTCATGTTCCCATTTGCTCAAATAACAAAGGAAAAACTCTGTATTCTAACAGCATATTTTTTGTTTTAAATTTGATGCAAAGGTATAATACAAAGTAGCCTAGTGTTGCCTATACATATATGAAACTATATGAAACTTGCAAAATCTCTAAAGAATGTCAGGTCTTTTTTTTCAGTAACACAGAAAAGGTTTTTAGGCAGTTAAATGTTGATTTTTTTAAATAATCATTAGGATATTTGAGGCATCTTCGAAGTGTACCAAGGAACAACAAACACATTTTCCTCTTTCAAGTGTGCACAGTTAAAGCAGTTAAGAAGCAGTTAAAAAAGGAGATGTTGAAGTCAATATTAAATGATCAAAATCAGAGGGGAAAGGCATTGTGGAGAAGTGTAGACCAACAATGGCAACAATAATGCAACAAAAGGTAGACATTTATATGAAATTCAAAGAAAAGGTAGGCTATATCAAGAAATAGGGGAGTACAGAGAAAAGAGAAGGTGATTCTTTTTGCTCCCCTATTTCTTCCCTATTTCACTGTAAAAAAAAATTTGTTGGTTTTTAACTTATAAAAGTAAGTAACCTGGTTGCCTTAAAATTTTAAGTTGATTGAACTGGAAAAAAGTGAGTTAAATACAATGAAGGAGAATGATTTAATCATCAGAAACTCAAAATAATAAGTTATCTCAACTAAATTATTTAAGTTGATTTGACAAAGGAAAAAATGTTGTGATAACAAATCTTGAAAACTTTTGATTATAGGAAAACATCCTACAGGAATGTGTGAACAGGAGGCTGAAACAGTAGAACATGTTCTTACAACATGCGGGACATTGAATCGGGAAAGACAAGAAATGATAACACGGTGAAAAAATATGGGTAAGATAATACAGTAAAAACTTTATTGGAGTATATGTGGATAGGAAATGGTTAGGCTATAGCTAGGCTATTTGGTTTTTTGAGGGGGACTGGATTAGATAAGCAGATTTAGTAGGCTATGAGTGAAAGTTAAGGGTAGATAAAGCCTGAAGTTGGCAGTAATGGAACTCAATGGATGCCAGCTGCCGTGAAAATCCGAAGAAGAAGAAGAAGAGCGCACGTAAAACTACAACTCCCAGGATGCACCACTCGTGTGCGGTCAGAGGCACGTACTTTCCGTCGGAATTGGCGGGTTGCTGGAGGCAGCTTGCGTGTGCCTTTTGTCTGACCAGTCAAGGAACCTCGATAAATTAATAACAAACTATTTTCTCAGTCGACAGATTTCAAACGTTTGTCGAGAATTAAAGCCGCTCTATCTGCAGGAAACCACCGTATTTGGTGTTATTTCGCCCTTAATTCCGTAATTCACAGGTAAGTGGCGCTGCATGCAGATTGTTGAACATACTACGTTATATGACTGACTATGTATGTTTGTATTAAGGACTGTGATTTATTTTTATAATTAACTGGAAAATGTTTGAGTACTCTAGCAACTAATTGCTCATCAATAATATCTAGTCATATTTGGAGACATGTTGGTTAGTTTTCTACTCGGATCGAGGTCAACATGGAGAAGTGAGCGACCATGCTTCTGCAGCATTAGCCACAAGGCTAGTCGGTTTCTCGGGCTTTAGGGCCATTTTGAGGTTTATACAGTAAAACAAATGTGCATTGGAGCGTTTTGTGTATGTATTTAACGGACAGCTTAAACGTTGTTTATGTCATGGTAGCTTTTGGACCTAATATTGTACGGGCAAAAGGGTCAGTCCAGCCACCCATTTCCGCGCGAGACAGAAACGCCTTTCTCGCACACGCACGCCTGGCTTTAAAGGGACTCGGGAACAGCATCTCCCCTTTTATTTTTTAAAGATATCTACATGGAGTTTGCTCAGTTGCATTGCTACCTTAAAATGTAATATTTGGCCTCCCTGGCTCGTCGTTGATGCTGTTGCAGTTTAAAGGGATATGGGCCGAATATTCTGGCAAGGCGTCGGCGCGTGCACGTCGGAAGTTGAATCGTGTATTTTTCTGCGCGCGATTGGTCCTCACAAAGTTTTATAATTAAAATATAAATAACATGATGTATTTGATCTAGTGGTGACTGTTTGCTGATAGCCCCTTAAAAGCAAAACACGTGTTTCTGTTAAAGCATCTGTTAAAGGTGGAATACCTAAGATCTTTGCATTAAAATATCCCAAAATCACAAGGCCAGTGTTATATATTTAGTTATGATGATAACTCACAATATTCCAAATGTTTCAAACAATGTTTAAATCGCGAGAAAATTGAGATTTTAACCAAGGAAACGGGGCGTATGAGCAGGGGTGAGCTGGGAGTCGCCAGTCAAACGCGTCATATCCGCTTACCTCGGTTTCCGCTCGTACTACGTAGTCCTGGACAAATGCGGTAGTTGTAGTTGTGCGTTAGCGTCTATCAAGCAACAAACGTCAGCTTGTTTCGCGCATTTGTTATGGAATGGAGCACAATTATTCTTTTCTTGTATTCTCGGAATGTGAACTGTTGGCTGTAAAGGGGGTCACACACCGGACGAGAAGCGTCGCGCCACGTTAGGACAACTCCACAGTATCGAACACCGGACGCGCACTTTCTCATCAGTGTATGGCCAGCAATATTGTTATGTTTAATGACATGAAATGAAGATAATGTCTGTTCTATGTTATGATTGTACTGTACAATTAAATACAATCGTTGCTGAGTTTGCATTCTGAAAACTTTACCTCAGAGCATCCGTTCACTGAATGAATTGAGAATCTCACCTGAAAATTCTAATAATAACATCAGCAATTGTCATTCAAGCAGCTGATTTCTGTAAATGACTGCAAAACTAAATGCATATTGCAGCATAGGGCGAAGTCAGGATCCATTAGCAACGAACCGCGTTTTGGCCTACAGAGTGACGTCGCAACTTCGGCACTCTATCCACAAGTTTCCTACGCCCCATGAGGCCTTGCGTCAAAAGTGGGCGCGACTTCCGGTAGGAAGTAAACAAAGCGCGATTTGACATGCTTGACACTCGTTCAATCAACAGTTGACAGTCATTCAAGTTATAGCGATCCAAACTAGCTAACGATGTGGGAACACAATCTCAACGAAGTTCAAAAGGGTGAAATAACAGTACCTTTACCCTCCGCAGTAGTTGATTGGGAGTATTATAATAACATTACTAATAATCAATACTCATCAAGGCATGGTGACAGACAGTTGTGTGAGCTGACAAACAATTAAAATAAAAATACACACTTAGTCATTGTGCTTTGGTCGGAGTTTATTCAAAATTATAAATGAATGGAATACATTAACTGGCACATTTGGTATTCTGTCAGCACAGGCTTTGATCCTGAGTTTAGCTGTAACATCAGTAGCGAACAGCCAAACACATGCTGATAGAGTTTATAGAATATTAGGAATTTAAACAAATGTACACAGGAAGATTCGTCGTCTTTTGGGAGGTGATGGAAACTACAGTCGTTGGCAGGATCACTCTGATTTCGTTTTCAGCTTATGTTCAAAACAATCACATTTAAGCCACTGAACTAGTTTAGTCCGGTTATGCATACAACCGCAAACAGCACATGTTGTCCCTGAGCTCCGTAACGACATCTCTCATAAAGATTTGCGTCTTTAAATAGTAAAATAATTCTCAGAAAAACAGCTAGCCTCTTCGCTAACTAACACACAAAATACCATTGGAATGCTACTTCCGCCGCGTCACCGGAAGTTTCACCCACTTTATTTTTTACAGGAGCACCCCTCGGAAACTTGTGGATAGAGAGCCTAAGTCCCGCCCCTCCGCTTCCGGCTCATGGGACCTTATTTCGGAAAAAATATGAATGGTAGTCAATGGCGAGAGACAACTTATCTTTTTATTCCGTGTCTGAACTGTGCCCTCAATTACACATATGATGTTTGTCAATTTAAAAGATAATTCTGAAAGTCAAAAACGTTGCAGTTTGTCATACAACAGAAGAGTAACATTTAGTTTTATGTGAAAATCGCTCTATGAACTACATCTCCCGGGAAGAGAAACGAGATCCGCTGCTCGTGTGTGTGCAGTCTGGTACAAAACACTCAGGAAGGACGGCGTAACGTTACGATTATAATGTAAGACTGTAGAAACAATGACAGACAGCCTCAGTAAAGTTAGCTTCATTCATTGGGAGAAAATGTGCGCCTTTGGGGTTTGTAGTCTTTGTAATTACGTATTTTCACAGTGTGAAACGGTTTTACATCAAACTGCGACTTTCTTTACTTTAAAATGTATCTTTTAAATTGACAAACATCATATGTGTAATTCAGGGCACAATTCAAACGAGATCAAAATATTTGTTGTCTCTCGCCATTGACTACCATTCAATATTTTTCCGAAATAAGGTCCCATGGTGGTCGACTGGAAGGGGAGGGACTTAGGCTCTCTATAACTTCGGCACTCTATTCTGTCAGTAATTATTCATTCTCATGTTGTTTAACAAAAACACTTAGCTTGGAGATAATGACGGTTCTGTGTTCATAATGCATATATTTGAACGTAAAATAAAACGAATAAAGACAAGATGGAGGCTCACTGACATACTGTAAAATATATTTCAGCATTTTGTTAATCAAAAGCCTACTCCTGACTGAGTAACTTTAACCCAATCCGATCGCGGCTCTCCCGGTGTTGGTGTTATTCCTCAAGATTTATTGGTGAGCAGCAGTTTGATTTATTAGATTATTTTCACATTCTTACCCTGCTGTGCACGAACACAGCTGTTCCTCAATTTGTGTTTCCCAGTTGAACGGTCAGCGTATGAGAGGCGGCGGCTGCTTGCGCTGGGACGATAGGCTTTAGCTTAAATTTTTATGAAATTATTCTATACTCGATTACATATGTCGTGAATATATCCCTCGAATGCATACTGTAGCCCCTTTAGACTGGCTCTCTCATATATTTTACATGTTCACCAAAAATGAGTAATTATATTCTTGGGAATGTCTGATACCGGTGCATAAACACTGAAATAGATGTGCCAGGCGTGAAAGCTTGACAGGCGTAGCAACAGTAGCTAGGGAGGGCGGGGCTTAGCGAAGGGTCAATTAAGAAATTTTTTTGGTGAAATCTGAGCGCTTGCTCACTCTTTAAAGGGGTCATATAATGATATTTTTGTTAATATGAATGTTTTGTAATATACTTATTAAAATACTAATGATAATTTTTAATAAGAAAACACTACTTTTACCAGGCTTTTACATAGTGTTAGACATCTATTTTGGAAGCTACACTCTAAAAAATGCTGGGTTGTTTTAACCCAATTTTGGGTCAAATATGGACAAACCCGAAATGTTGGGTTAAAAATGTAATGTAAAAATTTAACCCAACGGCTGGGTTAGTCCATATTTGACCCAAAGTTGGGTTAAAACAACCCAGCATTTTTTAGAGTGTAAGCTAGCAGGCTCTTGTTCTGTGGAGAAAGCTGAGTAACTTAGTTGAAGAAAGCTGAGTAGTAAGGGTTACCATCCTCTTTTTCCTGGACATGTCAGGCCGTCGAGATCGTACAAAATTTCAGAGATTCAGCTTTTGCTTTCTGCAGTTGCCATTCATTGTTTACATGCACACCTTTTGTTTCAATCTAACTGAATTCATTCTGATTGGTGAATCTGAATGTAGTGTTTACATGAATGCTGAACAAGTGTTCGGTGTGCGTTTTAAGTTAACATTGCTAAGAAAATTCCCGCTCCTCCGTGAGAGATACGAGACCGGTGCGTCTCACAAGTGTCGCTCATCAGTAATCACGACACCACCTCGCGTCATTCTCCCGCTGCCCTCACTCGTCGTGCTCGCCACAGTAAACATAATGAATGGCGACTGTAGAACGCAAAAGCCGAATCCCGGACATTTTGGGCGATGCTACACGTTGCTAAACATGAGACACTGGGCCAGCTAAACAATCACAGCATTTTTCGGAAGGAGAGGCTTCATCGAATCCTGATTATTATTTTATTTATTTTTTATTTTTTTACAAAAAAGCTTGAAAATATATTCTAGTACACCCCCAAAAACAAAACAAAGACATTGTAATAATAGGACCCATTTAATTGGATCTGAAGTGTGCTCAGAATTTTTGGGGCAGTATTTTTGGGCCTTGATCATTGAAAAAAATAATAATAATAAAAACAGGCCAGCTATTTCTTAACAATGTTATTTAAGTAAAAAAAAATGAGATGAGAAGTCTCATAAATTGACAACTCTTTAGTTTATTTTGTGAATAAGCAACATATTCCATACCCTCTTAGAGGTGACTAGTAACAACTTAGAGCTTTGTAAAATATAGCATTGCTGTGAAAAACAAACAAACAAAAAAACAATCTTTCAACAGAAAGTAATCAAATGTAAAACAGCACTGCATTGTCTTCACTGTATAAATTACAGATTAATTCTTCTAAATCTACTAAAGAACAGTGAGTGATTCTCTTCTGTTGTTTGATTATCATTAATGACACTGATGGCAGCAGGAATATTATGTTGCTGTTATTTTAAGACTGAATGCACCCAAAAAGGAAAATTAGCCCATGATTTACTCTGCCTCAAGCCATCCTAGGTGTCTATGACATTCTTCTTTCAGACAATTTTGTAAAGTGTTATACAAAGTTGTATTAAATGACAGTGAATGGTTGTTTCTGTTTTGAAGTCCATCAAAGTGCATCCATCCATGATAACAGTCCTCTATTGTGCTCTGGGGTCTTTCTGAAGTGAAATGATACATTTGTTTAAGAAAAATATATATTTTAAACTATCGACTATAATAACTAGCTTCCTGCAGATGACTGTACGCATACTACGCAAGTCGACTTGCACCACAAGAGTAACTCGTCAAGGGTCACTTTCCACCGTAGATTGATGTGGACTACAGTCTGCTGAAAGCTAGTTATTTTAGTCGATAAAGTTTTTAAAAAATTAAATTTTTCTTACATGAACACATTGCTTCACTTCAGAAGGCCTTTATTAACTTGAGCCATGTGGATTATTTTTATCATGGATGTATGGACTTAAAAATACAGCCATTTACTGCCATTATAAGGCTTGGAAGAGCCAGGACATTTTTTAATATAACTCCAATTGTATTCATCTTAAAGAAGAATTTCATACACCTAGGATGGCTTGAAGGGTGAGTAAATCATGGGGTAATTTTCATTGAGAATCTATGGCATGTTGCGCATGCACAGTCAACACAAAATAAGCCAATCACTCTCTGAGGCAACTCATTGTTCCTGAGTCATATCAAAGATTTGTTCAAAATGAATGAATCGTTCATGATTGACACGTCACTACTTGAACCATGCAATGCGGCCTCGATTCTTTGGATTTCGATATCGATATTGGTTAATCAAAATGAGAATGAAGAAATCGTGAAATCAATATTTTTAACCCAGCCTTAATGAAAAAACACGAATCGTCCTAAAAATAGGAATGCATACATGTAATAAATGTTTTTTGTATTACAAAGCGCTTCAGAGGGAGCTGTGCACTATGAAATGCTGCATTTGTTAGAGCCAGCAAACTGTTATCCGCAGTGGTGTATAATTTTATTTCCTGCCTTGTTGTTCTTTCCCTGATATCACCTGACCCCTCCCCCCCTCATCCCGTCTAATCCACACTTTTACTCTGTTCAGCACTGTTGACGTTGACAGGGAACCGGAAGGTTCCGCAGAGCCTCCCCCCTTCATGACGAGCATGAGCCAACCAACAGAGACAGCCAGTGATGCTCCCAGCGTCACCGAAGGTGTCTCACAACTTTCTCCTTCACTGTTATTTTTCTTTCAAATGTGTTGGAAGGAGGGTTTATTTCCAGACATTGTTTCTGTCTTCTAAACAAGTCTTGAACTATTTTTTTTTATTTTTTATTATTATTATTGAATCACAGGTTGTTGGTAACTGTCTGTTTTCATGACTGCTGTTTCATCTGCCATGTGAACCATTATTTGTCACTGACTAATAGAGGTGATTTATGGTCAGAGGTGCGATTCTGGTCTGGTGCACTAAAGACAGAATGAGCGTTTCAAAGTGAAGAAATTTGGGAAGCATTTACATTAAGGTCTCATTTGTTTGTAACATTTTTAAAATCAGGTTTATTACTAATTTAATTATTGTATGTCATGTGTTCTAATAGGCAAGTTGTATCTGTTAACATAAGTTAATGCGCTGTGAACTAACTAACTTGTATAAGGATTTAGTGCTGTTCATGGCTAATGCATTGACTAATACGTTAACAAATGAGACCAAATTATAAAATGTACTGACATTTTAGGCTGCATTACCCTGATTTGTGCTTGATTAGTTTACGCATTTGTTCTCCACACGAGCTGTGAACTACTATGGTGTATTCAATCGTGTAATGGTCGTTGATGTATAGCGGGTTGAATTGTCTTCGATACTGAAAAGATCCAGATATTATAGTCTAAAGGTTTGATGGCGAAATACATTATCATAAAATTTCAATTCTGTTCACAAAATATGCATTGCTGTTCAAGAGTTTGAGGTCCGTAAGATTATTATTTTTTTATTTGTTTAAAGAAATTCATGATTTATTCAGCAAGGATTGATTAAATTGATCAACATTGACAGTAAATAAATTTGTAATGTTACTAAAGATTTATATTACAAATAAATGCTGTATTGTAAGCTTCCTATTCATCAAATAATCCTGAAATTATCAATGTTTTCACAAAAATAAAGCGGCACAACTGTTTTTTAACATTGATAATAACAATAAATATTTCTTAAGCATAAAATCATCATATCAAAATAAATTCTGAAGAATTATGTGACTTGAAGACTTGAGAACTTTGCCATCACCGGAATAAATTACAATTTGTATGAATATAAATTTATATAAATAAAATATTATATAAATTAAAATTATTTAAAATGAAAAATTATATAAAATACATAAAAAAAATATTGTGAAATATTACATTTGTTTTCTAATGTATTTAAAAAAATAAATGCAGCCTTGATAAGCACAAGAGACTTCTTTCAAGAACAGTAATAAAAAAAAAAAAAATCATATTGACCCCCAAATATTTCATTTACAAACTGAGAAGTTGGAAGTTGTGAAATGAGCATCAAGTGGTTATGGTTCTAGTTCAAACTGGTATCTTCCCTGCTTGGAAAGTGATGCTGGCATTTTGATTATACTGATTCTTAACAACTAAAAGTTTGAACGGCTTAAAGGGATAGTTCAACCAAAAATGAAACTTATGTCATGTACTCACTCACCCTCGTGTTGTTCTAAACCTGTATGAATTTCTTTCTTCTGCTGAACACAAAAGGATATTTTGAAGAATGTGGCTAACCAAACAGTTGATGGACCCCATTGACTTCCATAGTACTGTTAAGTTACAGACATTCTTCGAAATTTCATCTTTTGTGTCTAGCAGACAGAAATTTTTGGGAGAACTATCCCTTCAAGGTGTGTTTGTTCCACTTGTATAATTCAGATGACATGAGGGTTAGGATCTGACAATTTTACAAATTTTGAACTATTAGTAAAATAGTTAAGGAGTGGACAATGAGTTTGAAACCCTAAAACCTCTTTTGATAACTATTCTGAATGAATTTAGTAACTGATCTTGGTCTCAATAGCAAGAATTTATCATTAAGAGCTGCACTTTTAGACTGCAGTTAAAATGTCACTCATTTTGACTCTGCTCTATACAGAAAAGTTGTCTAATGTTGGCAGACCTTGGCTACCTTTCAAATGAGAATCATTGCGCACGACCCCCTGCCATTGAGTTATCACTGTTTGTTTGTATTTGTTCTGCTCAGCCCCATAGTGTCTGTTTTCAAGTTTAACTTGCATCATTTATTGCATTTTAATTGTTTGACCACTTAAGATTTTTTTCACACAGGAAAGACTGACCCTCTTTTCTGCCCTCTTTCTCCACAGACGAGAAGCTGGCGGCCACCGCTGGAAAGAAGCTTAACAAGAAGAAGGTGGAGGAGGTTGTAGAGGAAGAGGAAGAATATGTGGTGGAGAAAGTCCTGGACAGAAGGGTGGTGAAGGGCCGAGTGGAGTTCCTGCTCAAGTGGAAGGGCTTCTCAGAGTAAGTAACTAATATCAGATTTCCACTAGTGTTGCACGATTAACCAAATTGCAATGTGAAGTCTATATGATTATATGACGCAAAATGCTGCGGTTTTATCTAATAAATAAATGCATTTGTGGACATGACAACCCATTCTCTCTGAGAGCTGTTTGCACATTTTCTACACCGCTAATAAAAAAAAGACCAGTCAGTTTAGTAGGGCTGCACAATTAATCAAATTTTAATGACGCTGCTAATAACTATAGTTACAGCAATAAAGTTGAGCAATATAAAATTGTTTTTTTCACTCATGATTTTTCTTGACTAAATTTTACTGCTGAATTATCCACTAATCTAGTTTATAGTAGCATTTGTCACAGATTATGATAATATATTTTTTGGATTTGTTGTTTTTCTATATAATAGATTGTGTTTAACACACAGAAGAGTGAAGAGTGATCAGTTCAACACACATAGCTATAGAAATTCTACTTGACTTTTTAAAAAAAAAACTGCGCTGGTATCGGTATCAGCCGATACCTTTTGAAAAAGCCATATCATTGCATCCCTAAATTAAATAAGATTCAATTTATGCAGTAAGATTGCACTAATCACTGACACTGCACCACAACCAGGTTTTATGTTTCCCAAGCGTCAAATTAGAATGACTAAATCTTATCCATTAATCGGACTTCCATAGTGCATAGTTCTGCCATGACATGTTCTCATTTAGTTACATTTTGTTATGGAACATTTGTTTTTATTGATTGTATATTTTGAGTTTTATTCACATCCATTATGCAGGTACAATGCAAGTTTATATTTTGCTTCCTAAAATACATTTACGCAATGGAAAATAGTGAGAAAAAAAAAAATAGCCCTGTTGAAGTTTTTGTTGTTTTCTTTATTCTTTAAGGAGATGCACTGAATTTTGGAGAGTAAGAGATCTATTTTATTTTTATGCACAAAATTTGTTTTGGTTAAAATCAACAAATAATCATAATTAATCGATCAATATTGATCAAAATAATTGTGATTATCATTTTGGCCATAATCGTGATTTAAGAGCTTTTCAGTTCTTCAAGAAGCATTTAAACAGTGTTTCGCATCAGTGTGAAACTAACTGGCTTCACATGGCTTATCTTCCTTCACCAAAAAATTGCCATAGATTGAGTAAAAATACTTGTGCATGTGTTTATCAGACAGTGCCCTTATGTTTTTTGGGTAAAAAAGAAACTATATAAACAAAGTGAAACTTAATTTGACTGATAAATAGTTGAGAAATACACATTTCAGCATTATCACTAATCTGTGTGCATTTTCTTTGAGATGCAAGCAAGCTGACTCATGGAATTTGTTTATTATATCGTAATATTGACCTCAATAATTGCAATATGACATTTTCCCCAAATCATGCAGCCCTAATTTCGACTAAAATACATGGAAGTGGATTCCAAGCAAACGTGTTGGCAATTTTATCATTATTTAAAGAACTCTGAAGGAAAAAATTATTTTAAAGAAAAAAATTATTAAATATTTACTTTTGCGTTCGGATAGTGGAGCAGCCCTTCTCCCCAAAAAAAAGATGGTATTCAAATCTGTCAATTGATTGAAAAATGATTTCCTTTTCTTTAGAGAAGACAACACATGGGAACCAGAGGACAACCTGGACTGTCCTGATCTCATTGCAGAGTACATGCTTAAACATAAACCTGCAAGTGATGAGAAGAAAGATTCTAGTGGAAAGAGGAAAGGAGAATCTGACACAGACGGTGGAGAAGACAGCCGGCCCAAAAAGAGGAAAGATGAGGTTAGACTTAATTATTCCGTTTGATGAATAATATTTCTTTTTGGATTACAAATGTTGTTTCTAAACAAATGTTATGTACAAATTGGCATATGCAGTGTTTACTACAGATCACAAGCTGACACATGAGCAAAGTGCACACTTTGCTATAAAAACACGCAGTGCAAACAGACTATATACTTAGACACATATGTATAAGGACATAAATTACCCCCATACGTCACTTCTCGGTCTCCTCGGCTGGGAACGCTCCTGGCGCGCTCTTATTGTCATATTATTATTGTCATAATAATAACAACAATCCACCATATTTCTTTTCAACATTCTGCTGCATTAGTCCCAGATAGGTGATTCATGAATGATCTGTTCATTGTGTATGTCTCTTGACAAATGAACGTAAGACTCGGAAGGTAAAGTGATTATTTATGTTGCCTGTAAATAATTTTTTACTGCATTATGATTTCTTAATTCAGAATATGATCAACATTGCGTAGGTGGATGTGATCGGGGAATTTGGCTGTTAAAATCATAACATTTAAAGCCACTTAAATAAACGAAATGACTCGAATGACTCAGAGAGTCAATAAAATGAACTTCCTATTACCCAGTCGTGATCGTGAGAGCAGGGGCTCGGAAGCTAAATCAGTCATGACTCGTGAGAGCAGGGTGTGCCGACGCTGCGGGGTGGCCGCGGCTCAGTAAACCATATAAATAACCCAGTTTGTGAATTGTTCATTCCTGGTTGGCACACATTTTGCAGCCCTTACAAAAGCACCACTCCCTGTTTACAGTGGAAGTTCGATCATAGATTTGAGTTCGATGCATGATGTCTCGATGCGGCTGTGTCAGCGCATAACATACATCATAAATAAACTTATCTGATTGGCTTACGGGTAACCAGTGATTTTAAACTTCAGACAAGCGCCCCCTTGCGAGAGAGAAAACACTTCTCTATTATGCCATTCCAGACTATGTCTACGAAGCAAAGTGAAGTAGCAGAGTCTGGCATTACCAGGCTAGTAAATCGCTCTCATGTGGCGAAACTTTGTTAGCACTTAGCTTAGCCCTGTTCATTCATTAGGATTCAAGCAGAGAAGTCACCAAACACTTCCACGTTTTCCCTATTTAAACACAGTTACGCAAGTAGTGTAACTCGGCCAAGAATGGTGACACAATAAAACATTAGAAAAGCACGTAAAGTGGATAACTATAATGTATGGCGGAATACTATAGCAAATGCTTGGGAGTCTTGCAATTGTAAATCTTGCAAATGTTTATTATGCATTTATTTGTGTTGGCTTCTTATCAATTACATGGTTAATGAAAAAAAGAAATCTTACTTATGAACAGAATATTTTTGTTAATCAATTCCAATCTGAAATTCTTATTCGAAAGTGTGAAACCATTATTTAATTGTGTGCATTTAGGATACATAAAATTCTAGCTGTGAATTTAGATTTAGCAAGACAATCTTAGCACAACCTTTTTGCTTCCCTGTCCTTGTGAGAACTAAAATTTTAAAAAGTTGGTTCAAACCACGCATAAAGACATGCTGATTAGAAAGTTGAAAAAATGTTCCTGTATGGAAGACTACTTGGATGAAACTTTTACTGCATGTGAATAATAAATTATTTTCTAATGTTTTGCAGCAAGACAAGCCGAGAGGCTTTTCACGGGGGTTAGACCCAGAACGCATCATTGGAGCCACAGATTCCAGCGGCGAGCTCATGTTTCTAATGAAATGGTATGTAAATATTACGATTTTATAAATGCGAAGTGTAATTTCTAGAGATGCTCTGATGATGCGGCAAGATAGAAGGCTGATATAACTAACCGATGGTCTTATATAATATTATTGGAATTTGCCGGAACCGGAATTTGTGTGAATTTTAAAATGAATAAATAAAAAAAATTAGGTCAGTACATTTAAATCAAATCGCAATATAGACTAGTGTCTGTGAATATTAAACCACAAAAAGACTAAATATGAATCCTGCATGTTCTGTGTCTGTGTGAATGAATGGCGCAGCCGTGCGGTTAAATTTACCACACACACACACTGAAGCATGCGTAACACTCTGTGTTTTCTCACTCTGAGGACTTGAATGCATGAATTTCATCTCCAGAGACTCTTCATGAGCATTGTAACATTTCATTTGAGAAAATCTATCATCATATCATAAACTCAGAAACTTTAACAAAAAGATGTCGTTACATGATCTTGCATTTCTGTGAACAAATCCTCCTAAATATTACACAATGCACCATTAATTTAGAATATGCAGTGAAGAATATGCATATATTTTACAAGTGTTTACTTTATTTATGAACCTGAAAACTGTTTAACCCACCTAAAAGCACAGTTTACTTCATATGTATCTTTGTTCTGTTGTATTTATGTTGGCCTGCTGAATGTTAAATGGATCCAATCCATGTTCATTAGATTTTATTTGATGCAGCAATAGCCTAGCTAGTATAACTTAATGCTTAGTGTTTTGATCATGTTTTAAATAAAAAAAAAAACACTTTTTTTAATAAAGGTTCAAATAAGAGAGCAAGTGACAAATATTAGTGTCAGAATCGGCTAATTGTTTGTTGTAATCGGTATCAGCCCCCCCAAAAAAATCTTAAAATCCTATTGGTGCATACCTAGTAATTTCAGCTCCGTTTAGAAAATAATGAAAATTGTCCACCTTTGGTCAAACAAACAGGTGCTTGATATCACAGGGCTCACATTCTCCATCTTAAATAGTTTACGGTCTCCATTTAGCCGTCATATCTAATACGTTATATAGAACTGTTAAACAAAAAAAGTAAACTGTATGTGAAAAAGTATAGTGTTTGCTTTTTGTACTGTGGCTGCTGTCGCATCATCCAAGTGGATACTGTACACTGGTGGTGGTTGAGGAGAGATCCCCTGATATGATTGTAAAGCGATTTTGGTGTACAGTAGTACATATGAAAGCGCTATATAAATGCCTCATTCATTCATTTTAAAAAAATGCCTCATTCATAAAAAAATTCCTCATTCATATGTCCACACTAGTGCGTTTTAGTTTTAACACACACACACACGAAAACAATCCTCCTCCATACTGGTGTTTCACCTGTTTCAGAAAAGATCCATCCACACTACATGACCGAAAACGGATGTCGCATGACCTTTCCTGCACACTTGCCATGTGTTAACAGTTTTTTTAAACCCCAGTCTGTATGATGGGCTAAATTGCATTACCTCAAGTGCTTATTTAATTGTGTTCCCCTCTGCCTGTTCTCTACAGGAAAAACTCTGACGAGGCAGATCTCGTTCCAGCCAAAGAGGCTAATGTGAAGTGCCCGCAGGTGGTCATCTCATTCTACGAAGAGCGACTCACATGGCACTCTTACCCTTCTGAAGAAGAAGAGAAGAAAGACGATAAGAACTAGGCTTGTGAGGGAAAACAAGATAGGTGGCAAGTCAGTACTAGTTAGGGTGGGGGGACATGGGAAGTTTAGATATGGGGGAACCGAGACAAAAATGCTTACACTCGATGCCATAAAATCGGACTCGGAGTATATTCAGAGCATGATATACAGACGTGGAGTCATCAAAAGTGATTTTAATCAAAATACTGATCCCATAAGCAACACGGGATGACTGTATTTCCTCTTTGCTTCTCTTTCTCTTTCTTTTTTGTTTGATTATGGGAAATGGGGTGTATATGCTGCAGTAGTTGCCCAGTTGTCGTTCCCGGTGGTGAACGCCTGATTATGTATATGTTTAATGGAATGGATCCTATGTGCACATCCTCATGCTCTGTTTTTCTGACAAGAGATTTGAAGGACATTTAATGTCTAGATCAGAACGTGTCTCAATGTAAAATGCTGTCCTAAGTTTAAACATAGTAAGTATGCAACACTATAACTGAAAAAAACAAACAAACAATGGATATAAAGTTTGAGTAAATTGTGATTTTGATATCAGTCTGTAGTTTTCTCTGAATCTAGGCGTAGTTTTTTGCTCAACTCAGTTATGATTGTGTACAGTTACTGTGTTTTGTCTTCTCAGGGCAGTATGACCTAATTCCTTAAGCCTTCTCCTTTTCCTTTTCATCAATTTGTTTGAGACTTAAGTCATTTGTTGTGTAAATGCATTCAAAACTGTTGTCACCTTATTAGTGAGCACATTGCTGTGTAGTGCGGTCTTGGTGTTTTAGCAGTATTTTTGAATTTATTCATGTATACAGTATTCTTGCCTTTTATTTGTTCACCACTTGAGGATATGAGCTGCAGATATGCACACACAAACAATGTATGTGTGTGTATATTCACAAATGGGTTTTTTTTTATCAATTCTAGTCAGCTTAGTAAACTGCATTTCCCATAATCTTATATAAATGTTTATTTTTAACTATTAGCTGTCAGTGTATTTTATCAGTTGCATTACTGTGTGAAGAGTAAATATACTCTTTAGATTCCAGCTTCCTGGCTCACAATACTTATGAAAACATTGATGAGAGGTTGACACTGTTTTACTCTCTTTGGCGGTGCTTATGAATTAGAATGTACTACACAGCTTTAATGCACCTTTCTTTTTTTTCATAAACGTAAATGTGTAGTGAAGGTAGAAAAGCTCACCAACATTACCATGCTACAGATCAGGTCTCTTGGTACCACTTTTGCACCAGCATAAACATGTTAGTATTGGTAATGTTAATTTTAAACTGTAATGAAGCTCTTCAAAATGTTTTGGCATTCGTTAAAATAGTGCTTTGATCACTGGATACGTCTTTCGCTAAATATGGTATTAATAGTGGCATACTCTTCTGCTGCGTACCAGAGAACCCTGAAGTGCTTTTAGTTGTACACAATCAGTAATGTGACTGCATTATATTACTCTCTGATTGTCTGTTTTCTCTTTTAAAGTGTACTGTTTGATGCATGTTGCTTTCTTTCATTTTCACTTTTTCAAGGGGGAGATGATTATTTGTTCATTAAACTAAACTTTTGTATTAATTCTGTTTTTTTTTATCTATGATTATTAAGAAATGTTGTTTAAAAATGTACTTTGTATTAAGGTCCTATTTTACAGAAAAGAAATTGAAAATTCAATACCATAAATAGCTTTTAATTAAACAAAAGAGCTTGTGACTAAGAACCTAAATTCACTGCAAAATATGAATCACAAGGTACATAAACAATTTAATATAAAAAGGTTTAAATTATTTACAAGGCATTTTTTTAAATATGAATGAAATCAAATACCAGTTTTTAACATTTCATCAAACTTACAGCAATACAATTTAAAATAAACCACACAAACTCAAGGACAGAATTCCAGTTCACTCAAAACATGGTGGGTCAAAAATCATAAAACTTTACAGCCTTGTAATCAAGTTAAAGTTAATCGAACTCAAAACTAAAAGTACGTTCGTTGTGTGGTGTTCCCTATAATGAGGTGGCAAACCAACACTTTTATCAAACCAGTAGGCAATATTTAGAATGCATTATCACTTTGTTTCAATACTTGGATTCCAAGCATAATTCCAAACACAATTTGCCATTCTAACACAGGATTATTGAACTGTTTTTTTTTTTTGGGAACAATTTAGGAGAATCCTATTTTAGTTCTTAATGTCCGCATGAATCTTGCGATAGTCTTTTCTTCGCTAATGGGACATCCAAGGGAAACCGAGTGAGAAAAAATGTATTTTTCTCCATTGGGAAATAATTGTCATTTGCTGTAATCTCATGTGAATCAGGGACTGGTTGCTGGCAAGGAGGGACCCTCTCTGTGGCCCTTATAAATAAACGGTCTGTTATTTGCTGTTGTGCCTTTCAGAAACGCCCACTTTACATGTGACATCGGCAACAGCGTTGAGTGCTTTCTCTGGCTAGATTCAGCCTCAGACACAAACTGCATGTTTGCTGCCCTTTACAGTCTGTTTAAGAGTATATTTCAACGTCTTTAACATAAAAAGATCAAGGAAACTCGCATTGCCCTTTAAATTAACATTATGGAACTTAAAGTTCAGTCAAGTTGTATTATGTGGCTACACAGTATATGACATCTTAAAGGATGATCTCTTGGGTAAAAATACCCTACTTGGTGTAAAATTCCTTTGAACTGCGGAAAACCAGCATGTAGAACTAATCGAAATCAGCTCATTGAAGAGTCCTCCTCACTTCTTGCGTTTTTGTCTCTTGCTAAGTTTGCGTCTGGAGTGTGAATCTGATCTGCTTTGGGATGTTACAGGGCTGGTGCAGTCTTGCAGCAACGTAAAGTTGTTGTCAGAGTAGAGCAGTCCCTGTTCCTCCCTCAGTCTCTCATACACCTCTTGATACAGGCTATTAAGAAGCTGCTTAATCTCCCTGATGGAGCACAAGATCTCTGACTTTTCCCTAAGCAGTCTGACCCGGAGGCGTCGTAGGCTATCCACATTACGCTCCAATCCCACGAGGACATTTAGCTTCCTTCGGCGACAGTTCTGAGCAGCCATTTTGTTTTTACCCCTGCGGCGAATGTCTCTGATGAGCGAGAGCTGAGCCTCATTGAGATGATATTTTGCTAACAAACGATTGAATTCCTCAACGGGCAAGTTTACGATGCGTTCGTTGGAGAACGGGATATTCAACGACTGTGCGTGTTTCTCATCCCGGCTGGACAGATGCTCCAGCACTTTCTCTTTCGACTCGTCGAAGGGATCTTTTGGAGGCTTCTTCTGGCTTTGAGGTTGGTTGTAGGTATGATCGTGTCCGATGTGCTCGAGCCAAGGAAGACGATGGAACTGCCTGGCTTCCAACAAACTTGACTGACACATTTTGCTTTGTTCTGGCATGAAGCCACCCACAGCTCCATCCTCTTCCTTGATATGGGTGTAGCCCACAGCACCTTCCTCTGGTATCAAACTAGGGGTTGGGCTGGAGGGTGATGAAGAGCATGAAGATGATGACGAGGAACTGGAAGATTCAGATCCAATAGTGGAGGTAGGGCTTTGGCTGTAGTCCAGGGATAAACCAGAGTCAGAATCTGCTTGGTTTTGCTCGTCAAGGTCTTCCAGGGCCAAATCCATTAGTCCAATCTCATCAAGCATGGCTTCCTCTAGCAGAGGATCTAAAGGGCTTGCCAGGCTTGTCCCAGTAAGGAGGGCTATGATATCAGAGTCTTCAAAAGCTTCTACATTATCAGGGGTGTCCAAGTTGAGGTTTGGCAAGGAGTGGTTGTTAATCCGACAGGCTTCTTCCATGGTGACGCTGTTTTGTGCATCAGTGGAACTTGGCAGAGTGGCTTGGTGAAGGCTAACATCCTGATGAATAAAGTTGTCCATGGATCCAGCATTTCTGCCTGAATCACTTATATTTAGGGGGGAATCGCCTGTTGTTTCGGCTATATCCATGTCCTATAGAGATGAGAGAGTTAAAAAAGGTTCTGACTGCCAGGTCAATAAAACACGTGAATTGGTCCATCATTTTGAATCTTTGACCCAGAAACACATTTTGAGTTAAAACATTAGGCCTGCATGAAAAGTGATTGTTTTTATGATATAACAAATCCTTGTCAAGATATCATTTAAATGGTTGCTGTCTATCATAAACTTGTTTATGAGAAAATGGCCTGGAATAACCAAGCGCGCCACAATGCCTTTGCTCTATGTGATAGGACTTGTTGCATGTCTATGTTTAAAATGACAAAGTTGAGCTTGACTTGAATGGGCCCTAAAAAGCAATTGGACTGTGCGTATGTGGAAGGAGTCCATCCACGGTTGAGTTTACTTTGAAAGCTGTGCGGACCTGACGGTGTGGAACACGGAAAGTGATCTTTCACACCACATTAAAGGAGAACTCCGGCACAAAACGAACCTTTGGTCTAATAAAACTTTGGTACCTAGTCAACCGTTCTCTGAGATTTGTTTTCATGATAATCGAATGTAAAGAGTTTAATCTCTAAAAACTGTTTAGCATATAATGCTAGTATATGGAGGCATTTAATAAGTAAAAAGAAACCACTAGTTAATGCCACTGACAAGGCTCAAAATAGCCCCACACTAACACAGTAACATAATGAGGCTCCATACATGCAAAACTAAGCATTGAGAACTTTGTTAGTGTACAGACCGTTTAATAAGAAGATACTTTATAAAGAGTCCACTTCGTGTATAGCAGGAGCCATCAGTCTCGACTCTCGACAAGTCGAACCAAGAACGACGTGCCGAGTGACCTGGACTGTATGAAGTTCAGCGAACTTCTGATCTGTATGAACAGCGTTCGTGGTTCGACTTGTCGAGGCTGTTTTCTCCTGCCTGTATACACGAAGTGGACTGTCTTTATAAAGTATCTTCTTAAGATAAAACGGTCTGTACACTTACAAAGTTCTCAATGCTTCGTTTTGCATGTATGGACCCTCATTATGTTACTGTGTTAGTGTGGGGCTATTTTGAGCCTCGTTAGTGGTATAAACAAGCTATTTCTTTTTACTTATTATATGCCCTATATACTAGCACTATATGCTAAACAGTTTTTAGAGATAAAACTCTTTACATTCGATTATCATGAAAACACATCTCAGAGAACGGTCGACAAGATACCAATGTTTTATTAGCCAAAGGTTCATTTTGCGCTGGAGTTCTCCTTTAAAGTGCGTCAAAATGGCATTTAATGTTTTAATCCTGTAAAAAACAAACAATTGCCATACATTTGAAAACTGAGACTGTATAACATTTAAAACAGTTCTTTGCTTATTGTGTTTCTCCAACTATTCATTGTTAAGACCCAAAATGATAGAGCGTGTCACATATGTTCATTGAAGCACTGATGAACTTGAATTTGAGACTTGACAGTAAGATGCTTGACAGTAAGATACCTGTGATTCCATGATGGCCAAAACATCTTGCCACTGTTGCTCTATGGTAAATGCAGATTCCTGTTCAGGCAACAAGGGTGAGATGAGTGGCCTCTGAAACTGAAGTGCATGTTCTCCTACATTCTGTAAACCAGGACCTGTCAACTGAGAAAATTAAGATTTTCAAACGAGTTTGGAAAGCTTGCATTTCCTTTCAAAAGATTCTCTCTCTCTAACTCTAACAATTTCTATTGCATTAATTGTTGTAAAAAGATTAAACGTTGTGTCCTCCTAGATCAGATTCTCACCTCCGGATCCTCTTCTGAGGCGAAGTTGTCATCGATGAGATGCAAGCACTCTTCAATGGCAAGAGAAGCGTCGTCCCTTACACCTGACAACTGAAAGAGCAGTAAGTGAGCTTGAGGAAATTGTTAAATAAAACCCATATCACTCTGTTATCTGTCAAGGTCAAACTATGATGCTCATCCTGCACTTCTTTGGAAAGTGGGAAGTCTTCATCAAGGTCAGAAGCAGCACTGAATAGTAAAACATTGTGTGCCGAAATCTACTTTTTACACAATATGCTAATTCAGTTTTACTTTTTTACAATATGCTAATTCAGTACTTTAGCTCATGGTACATATTTCTCTGCAAATATAAAAGAATTTGAAAAAAAATCACAAAATTGAGTGTTTTGTTTCATGGAATATAATGTAAAATTTAAGAAATAGAGTAGTGGCCTTTAAATCTTATTCAAATATTATTACAAAAATTCTTAATGATTTCATAAGCATATTGCGTAGTTGTGCTTGGAGTCGATTGTTATATTTGTGATAAAGCAATGAAACAAGCCAAATTGTGCAGAACATTTGTTGTGCTGTTGTACAAATAAATACAAAATTTTTGTTTTTCCTGTTTTTTTTTTTTTTGTTTTTTTGGCATGGTAAAAAAAAAACATGTAGCTGTAGTTTGCCTTTTTTTTGCCAAATAAGTTTGTCAGATAAACACCTTAATTTAGTGTTTTGTTCTCTCCTGATATTTAAGATATCTAAAATATTTTATTCATATTTTCGTTTAATCATACTTCTAAAATATCAAATACTTGGTGCCTTATTCACGGTCACCTGTAGATCCTCTCCAAACATCTGGTTGTGAAATGGATTTGAATTCCTCCAGCTCTCCACCATAAATTCATCCTCTTCCTCTTCTTCCTCATTAAACAAGCTGAGTGGTTGTGTTCTTGCGTTTTCCAACTGCTCCAAGTGGACATTTTGCTGAGGTTCTTGTTCCCTGAAGAAAGACATACCATCTCCCTCCTGCAAATGCAAAACAAAGGTCTAGTAAGGATAGGAAATTGTAACTAATATAAATTGAAACTTTTATATTATATAGACTCATTACATGCAAAGTGAGATATTTCAAGCCTTTGATGATTATGGCTTACAGCTATGAAAACCTATTCACAATATTCTAATTTTGAATTTGGGGGGTTTCATAAGCTGTAAGCCATAATCATCAAAATTATAACAAAAAAGGCTTGAAATATCTCACTTTGCATGTAATGATCATCCAAATGGGTGATGTTTTGGCCTATATTGAACCATACATTTACAGACAACAGACATCTCTTGGCTATAAATAGACTTAACCTTTCCCTGGTTGGGAGCGTGATTAATGAAAACGATTGGTCTCTGTGTCTCTGTGGTTGTTATTGGAAGTCCCCTTAGCCTCCATAGACCCCTGTCGTCCTTGTGACTATCATGGGTTGACTAATATGTTTTGGCATTAGGGGAATAACAGCTCAAGTCCCCCCTGCCTTACAGTTAAGATTAGGTTGTTTATTAGGACAAATCAACTTCCACACCTATATGCTCAGTCAGAGAGGGTTTGACAAGGTCTCAGCTGCCTGTTTACCTATGAGCTTAAGGTATGTGGAGCTGTAAGATGTCTTTAATGCACTGTCCGTTGAGTCCATTTTGAGGGCATGGGCCTAGACACTTGATCAGTAGCTGGTAAACAGGCATTGCGAAAGCAAATGTGCATGTCTTCTCGGATTACAAAACAAGCCAGGATGGTGCTTTAGACGCCAAGCCAACACATGCTCAGGCACATCTAACAGGGGTCAGTTTATATTTGGGGTTACAACAAGCTTGCACAGTCAAGTACGTGCCCTTGTTTGAACTGCAGTGATTCGGGAGGGGGGGTTTTCGATAATACAGTAATGATTCTATTATGACAATATTTCCTGTGGATCACAAGTGCCCAAACATTTTGTTCCCATATTTTTGTTTTTCTTTTTTGGAGATGGAAAATTGACAGGCCTGTGCTGCGGTTGCAAGTCTTCGCACTAGTCATATGCCTGAAATCTATGAATAAATCAGCATCAGCTTAGTACTTGCCATCTCTCTCAAAACCCAAAGATTAACTTATCACCAGATTGCATGCTTTTATTAATCTCTAGGGGTGAGAGAGTCAACAGTCTGATCCAGGAACACCATGGCCGCCAGTCAATACAGGTCAAATGTGCCATAGGGCCAAATATGCAGCCTTTTGTACATTCTAAACTGGCTCTTGGTTCAGAAATAGCCCTGCGGATCATGTGCATGGAAACGTGTCAAATTTGATCTGGTCTGTACTCTGTACATGTAGGGGACTTGGCAGCTGTTTCAAGTTCAGGGTCCTTACTCAAGGGGAATTCGAGTTCATTAAGTCTTGTACTGTGTAACATCTTACTCTGTTTCAAAGCCCATTGAAGAAACAGAAAGTAAAATGCATCCAGTCGAAATTTCCCTAGCTGTCCCGCTGAATTTATGCATGTGAACAGAAAGCTAAAGAAAGCGACTCGATGCTTCTCACAAATGTCAATAATGTGGTGGGCACACAGCCAGGCAGCCGTACAGTCACACTAAATAGTCTGGGCACTGTGTGCATTTGTTGGCAGCCTGCTGTGGGTCATGTGATAAACCAGTTGAAAGTGTCCCTATTATGCTTTTTAGGATATTTAGGATAATATTAATACTGTGTGTACATTTTTAAAAGGTCTGCAAAAATCAAAGTGCTCGACAAATAAAGATATTGGCTCCCAAAAGAGAGATAAAAAAGGTTCTAGATAATAATAATTTCAGCTTGGTATATAGATATGGTACTGGGCATTTCGTTTGCAAAATGTACTGTAAGCAGTAGACCAATCACAACAGACTAGGCCATCTGACCAATCAGAGCAGAGTAGGCTCTCAGAGAGGCGGGGTTTAGAGAATCTGAATCGTTTAATGAACCGTTTCAGACACTGTGAGAAAGGAAGTGATGCTACAATGAGAAATTAATGTTTCATGTTGAACTTTTAATGTTTTTATCTTTTTTACCTTGAACCTGGCCTCCAAAACAAAATTGAAATGACTGTTTAGACATTTGCTCAATATATGGTTTAACAAATAATATGGACTTAGATCTAAGATTGATAATTTTCGACTTATTCTTGAGTCTGAAAATCATTAGTTGAAATTGTTTACAATACAGACACTTACGTAACATGCTAGTATACACTTTAGCCCCATTACCAAGAATACTCTGGATCTCATGAAACTCTAACGGTCAGTAGGACAACAAACATGCAACACTTAAGTAACACGTGGAGGGGAAACCCAGCCAAGATGTTTGAGGTTGTTTAACGCTCAGCTGTGCCTCAGGGCAGAGAGGAGGACACATGCATCTGTCCAACTCAATAACAAAAAACACATCCAGACCAGACGTGTCTGGTATTGAGCCAGTGCTGTTTGGGTGTGTGTTTGCGGAATTGATATTAGCAAATACAGTTTGTTTAACGTGGTTAAGCAACTTTTTTAATTATTATTCTTGTTTCGCATAATTTTGCAACTCACTGTCAAGTCAGCTGATATCCTAATAAGATTCACAGGTAAAACACTTCCTTATTTGTAAGGGCACGATTTAACTGGAAATCATGCCATGAGGAAACAAAATGTAATAATTGTTTTTCTTTTTGTTAAACCAGATTTCTGCGCTCTGTAGAAGGCAAATACAATACATAGCTAATTAGAAGACTTGTACATGGTGTAGTTGACTTTTACAAATATTTTTACAGTTTTTTTTTTTACTTTGGGATCAGCAATATGTTTTTAAAAGAAGCATCTTACTCTCAATTTTCATTTGTGAAATCAGTTGTGCTGCTTAATGTTTTTGAGGAATACATTTTCTTTGATTAATTAAAAATTCAAAAGACCAGCATTTAATTAAAATAGAAATTGCTGGTAACATTATATTTAGAAACTTTTTTATCCTTTTAATCCTCTTAATGCAAACTAGTTCAAAAGTATTTATTTATTTATTAAAAAAACAAACATCTTATTGACCCCAACTTTTGAGAGATACATCAAAATGTGTCTCCAAGTAATAATTGTTGCAATTTTGTACAAATATTGACACAGTGGGTTTTTCGCAGCTTTCACTGGTTTCACTGCTTACCTCTTTAATGAGTTCATCTTCGTCTGGATGGTTGAGGTTTCTTGACATATGCCCCAAAGGTCCAAGGCTTTGATCCTCAACGACGTCATAACCCAGTTCTCCTCCATTTCCCAACCTCATGCTTAGCTCTGAGGGTTCCTCCACATCTTCAAGTCCTCCAACTTCCTCAAGGAGACCTACTTGACCTGGAATGGAGACTCCATTGTCAGACTCCCTGTGGACCAACCAGGCTTCCAACTCTGGCGCTGGCACCTGCATGCGGTCTAGGGAACGTACCCAACTCAGAAGCCTGCGGGCTGTGAAGAAACCGTCTAGGTCTACGCTTTTTGGGTGCAGGTTATATCCATCCAGGATGTTTCGCAGATTGTGGAATTGAGTCTGAGTTAGAGCTAAACTTGGGCCCTGAATGATTTCACCAATGGGGGGCAGGTAGGGATCCACGTCCACACGCATCCCGAACAGACTGAGAAGAATAGCCACTTGAAGCAGGCCCTCAGTTAGGTACTTCTTTAGCTCCGGCATGGCCGAGAACAGTGCCAGGAGCTTTCAAAACTCTCCAGAAATAAAAGTTGTTGTTTTTCCCCCCACAAAATCCTAAAATAGAGAAGAAGAATGATATAGCCTGATATCAGAATTGAACAAATTATCAGTCAGTGTTTTAATGCAAATGAATTGTTGCTTAGATTAACTCTTTTGTGGGTAAATGTAGGCTATCCTCAAAAAAAGAAAAGAAAATAGGCTATTTCAAAAATCACCATCTTTATTGCTTTTTATCAATATAGCTTCAAAAAGTGGGAGAGGCATGCATTACACCTGAGAGATGTGAAATACTTAGAATGGAAATTGAAAATCATATTTAAGTTATGTTAATGAGAAAAATCAAGGTCACTGTAAAGGCTGAGACTCCATTTAGGAATGTTAAAGGGACAGGTTGAAAATGAAAATCTGAAAAATAGTATATTTCCATAGTATGGAAGTCAATGGGGCCCATCAACTGTATGATTACAAACATTCTTCAAAATATCTTCCTTTGAGTTCAAAAGAAGAAAGAAACTCATAGGTTTGGAACAACTTGAGGGTGAGTAAATGTTAACATAATTTTCATTTTGGGGTGAACTGTCCCTTTAAGTTCCTGAGCTCTGATTGGTCAATACAGCGTTCCACCTATTATATCATTCTGTTATGTCAGGAACTTACACTTGCGGAAGGATGCCTTTTTGTATTCATAATCTTGTTGAACAATATCAGAAAGTCAGTCATAACTGATAGATTTACAAACAAATACTGAGATTATTCAATTGTCACATCAGGCTATAGCCTATCATACAAAACAATAAGTTAAGACAAAGGAAAAGAGATAAAAGAAAAATAAATGAATGAATGAATAAAAAGAAATGTAGGAGTTTTTTTATATTATAAAACCAAAATCTTACAATAAAGAACACAAATACATTTCTTTGCTATCATCCCTATGAAGAGATGCATATGCATTTACAGAATAGAATTTCAATTAAAAATTGTAACCTTAAAAAGCAATGAGTCAAGCGAGGTTGTGCTGTGTAGGCATGTTATTTTCAGGTTTTTTTGGTTAAACGTAGGCGAGGCAGCGAAACCTCGAGAATCTTCTGCTATCTTGACTCGAGTCAACAAGACTGAAGATCGCTGCAAGTACGCGTGACACACTCCCGTTGACCCACTTATTGATTTTTTTCATAAGGCAACAGGCGACTTGAGTCAGCTATAACGTCATCAAAACTGTTCTCGGGAAATAAACACTAGAGGTCCAAGTGTTAAAATAAATTAGTAGCTAATTGAATAAAATATTACATTTCACAATATTAACAATAGGCTACAATACAATAACTCATAATAGTTCATAATTAAAAAAAATGTCCTAACCTGTGACAGGATTAAGAGCAATGCAAACGTGCACATTTAGGCTACAGTTAGTTATTTCACAATATTATAATAAGAATAGGCCTATGCCTTTACGCTAATAAACTTCATGATTATGTCAATCATTTTAAGCCCAGTGATTCATATTTTCAAATGAACGATGTAGAGAGCTATTAGTTCCATTACATTTCGCATATGCTCGCAGTATCTGCTGTTTAGTCTATCAATATAAGTTAGTCGAAACATTACCTTGTCTACGGACACAGAGTTCTGGTAGTCGCTATAGGCTTTAAAGGCGTGAGAGCAGGATGCTCCTCCTGGATGATCTGAATCACACAACTTCACATGCTGTATAACAGTGTGCGAGTGTATTTATGGGGCAGTGGCGGAAAGTATTGCATGGTCTCCTCCCTACATGACGTGATGAGCCTTTCAGTTTTCTTTCGGCAAGACCGCGCGTGCTCGCCCAGTTTGTCGGTGTTTAGGACAGATTAGGTAACTGATTTTTCTAATAACACATCAGCTGTGTTTTTCAGAGCTTTCCTTGTTTATCATAAGACCATGAAACAAGTGTCACATGATAACTAACAGGACAAAATGATAACAATAGAACTGTTTCATGAGCTACTGTATGAAAGCAAAATGCAGTAGGCTACATTATAAAATAGTAGGCTATTATTTAGAGGAATATACAATGGTTTACCAAACACCATTAACATAACATAAGCTACAGCATGCCTATTATATGGGGTATGGGGATATGCAGATTAGCCTATTATTCATATTTTTGTTATTGTTAAGACATTTTAAGTAGACTAATGTATTTACATTAAGCTGAGTGTAAGCAAGATCCTTTTCCCCTGAACCTTTTCAGCTTTGCTGCCCCCTGTCGCGCTAGTAGAAAGTGGTGACGTTACATAATTCATTGGCTTACAGCTGTCGTTCATTATCTATTCATTGCACGTCTGACTCCTGTGTGATGTGGAAGTCACTTGAAACTATCTTTGCAAAACGGTTTACTCACTATTAGAGCAAATGACATGACGCCAAAAATGTTAATTTCGTTCCCAAGACTTCCCACAAACAAGCTTACTATGAAAGGCGCCATTGTGGCTCCTGTACGGCAGCACTGCTTGGTGCTGCCCAAGTTTTGAGCCAACATGGCGGATTGAGGGCTTTGGTTGCAGACACGCCCACTGTGAGTCAGAGGGTTTAGGAGCGCCACTGTAATGACAGCTCAAAGCTGTCCACGTCAACACTGTGCTACCACCATGGACTCCACTGCTCTGGTAAGATATGTGTGCCATTTAATCGCTGTTTTTATTTCTTTAATTCATTGTACACATTGAAATAGTAGGTTGACGACTAGCTTTAGCAGCTTGTGAGCAGTTTTTCATTTGAAATCTATGGAGAAATATGTTTTCGACTATTTTCTCTTTATATTATTCTTAGGCGTAGCGTGCTAAGTTGGAACAATATAGAAACTGTACATTTGTCAACTAACTGGAAGTGTGAGTTGTCTTGTAATATACTCGTGCATGTATTTTTTTTCCTCGCGAAAGCGAAATCGTTGACAGAAACCGATACGGTTTCTGTTTACGAGCGCACGAAAATTAATATGAGCAAACCTTAACATTATTTTTCAGATTATGAATGGATCATTGATGTGCACAATGCGAACGTATAGCATAGTGTTTCCATTTCTTCCACGTCATTCTCCACTTGTGTTTAGTTTGTTCTGAAAGTTTTTTTTTTCTTCGGTCTAGTCGTGGAAGATCAAGATGTGGCTTTTCAAAAGTGGACGTGGATGCCACGTCCTCGATGCGTCTCTGCCTGAGCGGAGCGCGCGCGTTGCCTGTTTGGTGCGCGTGATTGATTCCACAGGTGGATACTTGGAGGAGATCAGGGTTATTGCTTGCCATGGACCTTTTTAATGCTCTTATGAGTTGACCTATATAGACAGTATACAACTGCAAATTATTAAAACTGTAGCTGTGGAAAAAAATATTCTACAAAATAAATGCCTTTAATGTGAGAAAAGGTTAAATTTAAAGTACTTTTCTTTATGATTTTAAGCATTGTAGTAGACGAAGGATGACTTTTAAATAAAAAAAATGTTAAAAACAGTGATATTATATATTGGATATATTAGGCCATAGTTCCTGATGTAACAATGTTGACAGTTTTACAGTTAATTTATTCATTTCTAGCAGTGTAAAAAAAAAAAAAGTTGACAATGCTTAAGTCATTGTTTACATACAATAGAAGCTGTGCTCTTACTTGGATGGAATGGATATGCTTCATATTTTATTGTTTTAGTTAAATGGTCATTGGTAACACTTTGCCTTACTGTGAAACAGATATTATAATTTACAAAGGGCGAAGTTTCATTGTTGAGCCCTGAAGGTCTGTGTCTCGAGACAGGATGCTCTTGTATTCCAAACTGATGTTCTGAAAAGGTGACCAAAGAATAGTTTTCTCCTTCTGTTCACCTGGCTCAAGTTCTGTGATACACTCAGACTTTGAATCAGTGGTAGTCAGTGCATGACAGAACTTTGGCCCGGCCGGACCCAGTCGAGTGAAAGCTAACAAACAGCCTAGGCATAATATAATAGCATTTTAAGGTGTAATTATGACATAATAGAAATAAAAAATCCCTGTAATGTGAATTATTGAAAATAATGTCGATTTATTTTCAACCAGGAACCCTCGCTGTACACCGTGAAGGCTGTCTTCATCTTAGACAATGATGGAAACAGACTGCTTTCAAAGGTGCTTAGACCCCTTCTCCCTTTTGATAATCTTTCTTTTTACAGAAAATGGAAAAAGATCATCATGAATAACTGTTTATGTACTGTGCAATTATGTATGTACTCATGTGCAATTACAGTACTATGATCCAGAGCTCTACCCTTCCATGAAAGAGCAGAAGAATTTTGAAATGAACGTCTTCAACAAAACACATAAAGCTGACAGTAAGTTCATTATTTAACAGTGTATTGCTAACCTTCCCATTAAGTTACGAAAGTTAAGAACTTGCTCAAAAACCGTGATAACTTTTAACATTAATGTTTTTGGAAGAATGCTTTTTCTTGATAACTTTGAGAGAACATTGGCAGAACATTAGCTAAAGTTCTGAGAAGATTCCCTGTTACCTGGGATACTGCCAAATATTTAGCTTAGCAATTAGACCTGATGGGCTGCTTTATGTTCCAACTCAAGCTCTTCTCTTCAGATCAATGTGTCCTACTAAATTCAGGTGAGTTTAGAGACTCTATTGTGTCAATTAGGAGCAGTACTCTAAGAAGTGTCCCAGATTAGTCCCAGATCAAGTTTCAAAGTAGTTTACAGTGGTTCATGGCCATTAGAACTTGCAGTTGCAAGGTTCCTCTAGGGCTTGTAGGTCAGATTACTGGAAAACTGGGTGGAGAACCTGTTCTAAAATTCATAAATGTGTTTATTACTTTTGCCCTGTGGGGTGAAGGAGATTGACACTAGGATAACAAAGCCACCCTGATCCTTTCACCTGTTTAGGTGTTAACTGTTTGTCAAAATACACACCTGTATTTGTCTCTTTAAAGGTGAATGCGAGGTGAAAAGTTGTTCTTGACGGAAAAGGGGCAGAAATAGCTTCTGACCTCCAAATGTTTTGCTTCACATAAAACTTTTAGTAATCAGACACCCCTTTTAGGACATCATCGCAAAGTAAAACACTGTTCTGTGCTCATATTTCCTGGTACTTATTAATAGACAAAACTGAAACTGATCTTGAATTAGCACTGGGATTTTATGTAAAAATTCAGTCACTGGACCTTTTTATGCCTTTCAGCACTGTAGTTTCTATGGTCTCAGCTAACTGGGAAAGTTCTCAGAATGTTCTGGCAAGATTTTGTCAAAGTTAAGCACAAAACGCTCTTCCAATAATGTTAATAAAATGTAAATTTAATGTTATCTGGTCTTTAATAATGTCCTCAAAGTGTTGGCACATACATTTTATGTATACGTTTTGATTCAATATGCTTTAAACTGGGCATGGAAAGTGTTTTTCTGAAATGTTTTTTAAGTTGGATATTTCTCTTGACATTTTTATAAACGTTGCTCTCATCATATTTGCAAAATTACAAAAGGGAATTTTTCCTTTTTTTTCTAAAAACGAAGAAAAATATTTTAAAAACCTGATGATTTTAACGTTCATACAACATTCAAAAATATTTTTTTATAGCTTAAATTAGGGGTGTCCAACTCGGTCCTGGAGGGCCACTGTCCTGCAGAGTTGTCCTCTAACTAACACATCTGTCTGGGAGTGTCCATCTAGTATCCCTATAGACCTTGATAAGCTGCTTCAGGTGTGTTTATTTGGGGTTGGAGCTGAACTCTGCAGGCCCTCCAGGAGCAAGATATGACTGCATACATTTTGGCTCTGCGTGACTGTGTGGATGAATGGGATTCTTTCTCAAAACTAAAGAGAAGGAGATTACTGCTCATAAAACATTAGCTGAAGACGTTACTGTAGCTTTACCCATTAATAGTTTTCGTTCGTGACAACTAACCTATACCACACCATACATGTGTACGTCCGTACATAGCCGGAGCAACTTTTCTCTATTTACTGATATGATGAGACGCACACGGGCGAGTGACATGTTTTTAAAACGTTGGATATCTCTATTATGTTGCCCATTAAATAAAGTAAAAAAAAAACCTGTGAAAAAAAGTGTAAAAAAGTGTAATATTTTTTTTTTTCTATAACTGAATATACACTTATGTACAAATAAATATATGTATATCTAAATAAATATTCAGATATACAAATATATATAAATGAATGTATGTATTTTAAGTATTCTGGTTCGTGTGTGCACAGATGAGATTGCCTTCTTAGAAGGCATGACGATAGTCTACAAGAGCAGCATAGACTTGTTCTTCTATGTAGTCGCCAGCGCTCAGGAGAATGAGGTAAGTCATCATGTATCTGGATGAGCTGGCCTGTAATTGGCTGGAAAACTAAAAATCGTGTCACTCATTTTGCATGTGACTAATTTGTTATGACTGGTCGTTTTTTAACAGTATTTGACCTCTCATTCTGTTTCTCTGGATACAGATATAAAAAAAAAATCTGCTGTGAATCATTCCATTTCCTTTTCTGACTCTCTCTTCCTGTATTTGTCTGATCCTCAGCTCATGTTAATGGCAGTGCTGAACTGCTTGTTTGACTCTCTCAATCAGATGTTGAGGTGAGTTCTTTTTTTTTTTTTCCACAAAAAAATGTTCAACCTATAATAGAAATAAATTTATTTTTAAAAAAATTCTAGAGCATCATTTTTAGAATGATTTCTCAATGATCATGTGATTAATTCCTGGTGAAAATTAGGAATAGGATTAAATAACATATCTTGAGCATATTAGACGCTTCTTTTTTAAAAAACATTACATTACTGACACCATGTGCCGCCCTTTAGGCTGATTCACGCTAGAATTCACAGAATTCTAGGCATGCACCCCTTCTGTGGTAACCATGGAAACTGGTGAAGGGCAGCACAAGATGTCAAGGATGTCACAGTAGAAGACTTGTGTGCTCAGGTGTCGTCTGCTTTTCCAACAGGAAGAATGTGGAGAAAAGGACTCTGCTGGATAATATGGATGGAGTGTTCCTAGTGGTAGATGAAATCATCGATGGAGGGTAAATATTGAATAACAAATTATTCTCTTTTAGGACCTCCACATTCACTTAGTTCAACAAGAAAACATGCCCTAACATTCAAAAGTAAGATTTATGTTTTAAAAATTTTGTATGCTAACCGTGGCTGCATTTATTTGATCAAAAATATAATTAAAAAATAAATAAATAATAATAATAATAATATATATATGTGTGTGTGTGTGTGTATGTATGTGATGTCAAAGCTGTATATTTAGGATAATTACTCCAGTATTCAGTGTCACATAACCCTTCAGAAATCATTCTTATATGATGATTTTGATGCTCAAGGAAAATATATAAAATTAGCCTAGTGGTTTTTGGATATTTTACTGCAAAAATCCTGCATATTGTAGGTTTAAGTAAAATAAATGATTATACATTTTTAAATTATAGGCCACCACAGTTAAAGAGGCCATAACATGGATTATTTTAATATGCTCCTTGAGGTTCACTTATAATGTTAATAAAGTTTTTTGCACAAAAGAACCCCAAATATTTATGTGTAAAAACTATTATTTTCTAAAACATAATTTCATAATTTAAAAACAAAAAATGATAAACAAAAGTTTATTTGCTAACTCTCCATTACACTGTGTCTTGTTTACAAAACAATCTGCAGTCAAATGCTCTGAACAAACATATCATTTTCCGACATGATCCAGGACGCCATTAAATAAACATCCACTTTTTCCGACGCCGGAATCCGTCTGAAGTCTGTACAGAGACACAAATTAGCTGTTTAAACTGGATGTGTCTTCCATTTGTTCTGTTGTTGGTGGACTGATGGAGCATGTCAGAAACTGAACATTAGATAGTCATTATAATGTTTTCTATTTTCTCTTGACACGATAATCACATCTGGAACTGGTTGCATAAACTACTAATACTAGTCTAACAAGTTAGTAATGAAAAAAATTGCTTAATTCTAAACTTCATTCATATGTTGCTCTACAGGGTGATATTGGAGAGTGACCCCCAGCAGGTCCTTGAAAAGGTCAACTACAGGGTAAGAGACTGTATCAGTGCTTGTTTTCTGTATCTATGAGTTATGTTTCACAATGCTCTGAGAGTTTGTTATTAAACCCCAGACATTCATCAGATACCTCAATAGTATACTGCAAGTCAGCACAGTTTCTAGCTCTTTACCCAGAATCACCGCTACCTGTCTTTAGAAATTACCGTGGCACATAATTTCAGCTTGACAGGAAGTTCCCTTTTCTTTTTGCCCAGTTTAGTCATGCATGCAGACTAAGTGTCCCCTCTCTTGCCCTGTCAGTGTGTGTCGGAGCAAGCGTATGGCTTCGTGCTTTTTGATTACATCACTGGTAACGTGGAGGGCCAAGGAGAGAGACGAGAGCTACTGTAGCTCTCCTTCAGCCCCCCCTTCCTCTCTCCCTCCGCTTTAGAGATGAGAGAGAGAGAGAGAGAGGGCAGGTAACTGCATGGCATGCACAAGCGTGTGTGAGGCTCACAAGAGGAACCGCTGTAGCCGATGGAGCCGATCAATAATAAGAAAATGTCCCGCTGACATCTGACCGTAAAGCTTTTGCTGCATGCGGAGTGGGAGACACTGTCACATCTTTGAGTTACACTCACATAAACTCACTCAGTAAATGACCGGCATGATTTCAGCTGGCCACACTTCTGATTTATGCTGTTATGAGTTGGATTTTTTTTTCTTTTTTTTTTTTTACTGCAGTGCAACGGGGAAGACATTGTCCCACTTCAAATAATATTTAAAAATAACAGTAAATACAAATAACAAAAAAAAAAAAACAATATCAGACAAATGTATTTTGTAAATAAATCTTTAATTTTAATTTTATTTAGAATGAATTGGAAAAAATAATTAAAGTAAATGTAATGGGTTGGTAAAATTGCAGTTTATTTTCTGTGAATACATTTTAGCAGCTATGTAACAATTTATTTTGTTGTTTTAGACTTTTTAGACTCAATTTTAGTGATGGTCCCACTCCAATATAGTTGTCAACCAATACGGATTATATATATATATATATATATATATATATATATATATATGTGTGTATATATATATATATGTGTGTATATATATATATATATATATGTGTATATATATGTGTGTATATATATATATATATATATATATTTGACGTCCCTGTACTGGAACAAAAAACAAAATACTTCTAAATTAGATAAAAAAAAATAAAAAAATAAAAATACAGAGAGATAACAGTGAAATAATCTAGTGTATTGGAACAAAAAACTAAATACTTTTAAATAAGATTAAAAATAATACAGAGAGATAACGGTTAAATACTCTAATTTATTTATCAGTACAATTGCAGTCTAATACCTTTGAATACATTTTAGCAGCGAGGGAACATTTTGTGATTTTGAATATTTTAGTAAATTTTAGCAATGGTCCTGTTCTATAGTGATCAACCATAAATGGCTTTTTAATGGGCAGTGATAATATGATTGGTGTCTGCAAATAATGCCGGTAATTGATTGCTGAAATAATGCCGTAATAAACTAAATGATGACAAATGCAAATCAAATGCTTACTTATTTTACATCAAATATTTCCAAAATAAAAAAAGTGCTTAACTGACCAAGAAAAAGTTTAATATCCATTATCAAGGGTGAACTAACCCTTCTGTTAACGGGGCAAGCTGGCATATCATCAGCCGAAGATATTTACTGATGATTTTGGAACAAATGTTCTCTATATATTTTCTCTACGGCTTTGGGACACTATTTTTGCCCTTTAGTGATGTTTAACAGTAGCTAGTGGTAAATGAGTTGTGGTGTGTTATTGATCTTAACCTTCACTTTGCTAGAGAGTAACTATAAGTTTGAAACATCTTGCACGATTTGTCTGGCTTGGTTGGTTGCGGTTTGTCAGTTAATTTTGTAATCGTAATTTGTCCTGTTTTTGGTTACTTTACAGGCAGATGACAACCCATTATCAGAACAGAGTGTGGCACAGGTATAAACATAAAAACATACAAACACACAGAAACTATAATCACAGGCACTTTTCTGTTAACATTTGTTGTGAAACATTTTAAAAACTCTGAAATGTTTCCCTTTCTGTCCAACTGTCATTAATGCCTGCACTGTGATTAACATCATCATCACCTGCCTCACTCTAACCTTTGCTACTAACTCTAACCTTGACAGCACATCACTGAGAAACTGGCTCTCACCTCTAATGTAAGTGCATGAAGACACACACACACACACACACACACACATGCGGATACTTTTAAGCACTTAAAAATGAAAAATCATTTGGGGTAAATCTTTCAAAATGTTTTGTTATTGACAACAGATGTGTAGTATGGGACTGAAACTAATCTAAAGTGAAATTTCTAAAGACACTGCTGTAAAGAAACTTCCAGTCTAATACAGTGGTCTTCAGATGCCCCCTTGTGGCCGTAATATAAAGTTGTTTAGTTAATTGAGGAACTTTTGTCATAAGAATATAGTTGCTACATCTCATTATTGTACCTTATTTTAATTGCATCTTTCATTTCATAATAGTGTTTATTTAGATATAATATTATATCTAATTTTATATGGTGTTTTATATTGCATTGATAAAGTGGGGGCTTTATTACTACAAAATATGGTAGGTAAATGAAATGTATCCAAAAACCATATTAACTGATTAACAACTAACAACTTAATGTCATTAATTGCACATGTGGAGTAATGCATCTTGAAGTGTGTTGTAGTTTTTTGGGCTGATCACTGAATGTTCACTGAAATTCTGTTTTCTTTTTTCAGGTGTTGCAGTCAGCAAAGGAGCAGATCAAGTGGTCAATTCTAAAATAAAATATCTTGAAGGAATCTGTAAATTATTGAAAGGGAATTTCAATTTTATTTTATATTTTAATTTTTAATTATTTGTATTTTAATTAATTATTGAAGTGCAATCTGTTGTATCTCATGTTTAGTGCTGAAATATTTATATTTTTGTCAAAAGTGGGTCATTTCCATTTTTTAAATGATATAAAATGTATTGTCGATACACAAATAGCCTACTTGCAGCTTTAAAGCAATTACAAATTGTGTTTTTGTTTTTTGCTGTTCTGTTTAGAGGAGGTAGAGGAGCATGGTCTGTGATATAAATAATCACAGATCAAAAGCCTACTTGATTGTCTAAACTTGTTTTAATCTTGTCAATTTTGTCATTGTTGTTTTTAAGTCATGGCTGCTTTACAACCTTTTGTCAAAAATATAATTCACAAAGTTTTGTTACATTTGGCTTATAACTAAATATTTTGGTATTATACATGTAAATTGGTTAAATGAGTGAGGCTATTATTAAATGTAGTACAACGAATATAATATAAAATAACAGTGAGTTACATTTACATATGAAAAGCAAAATATATTTTATTTACTAGGATTTATTTTATAGTAACTGTAGACTTTTTTTCCTGAATGTTTTAATGGGAAATAATTACGGAAGAACGAACATGTGACTAAAAACGAATAAATATGTTTTTTTTATATAATATTATTTGTTTGCACTTTTCTGTCTTTTCGAGTTTGTATGACAGCGCGACAAAGATGCCGCTTCTCTATTGGTGAGAGACGAGTGAATCTGGACCAATCAGATTTGTTTCATTCTGCATAAATACTAATAATTACAGTGGGGTGTGGTTTGGTCTGCCATTGGATGGTGTAGGCCAATGGAAATTGCAGATCCGAGTCTCCACCTATGATTGAAGCCGAGGGATCGCCTCACGCCCTGACTGGATACAGTTAAAGGTGGGTGTTGACTTTTGAAATCGGAGACATTCAACAACCAATTGCATTTTATTATTTCTGTTCGGAATCATGCAATAGCATAATGATATGGATATGGTTAGGATATGTAGACACCCGTTGCCTGTCGAATCAGACCATTTATCACTAAATTATATATTATATAGGCTAGCCTATATATATATATTTTTCCCTCAAAAGTTAATTAGCCTAATTTTAGAGGTTAGGCTAGTTGTTTCATTTGGGGCTATTTTTTTATCGTCGCAACGAGTAGCCTAACAACGACAACTGCAAATAACACAAAGTAGCCAAACAGCTGCAATAGGCTAAAGCTGGGTCTAAGCATGATGCACATAATAAAATGCGAAAATCGTCATCGATCTTAAAATGAATTAGCCTACATCATAATAGGCCTATTGCATTTGAGCGTATTTATTACATAGCCTATAAGTAATAGCCTAATAATCACTGACACCAGCAACCCTTTTTTGACCATAAACATAAAACAAGAAGTAAAAAAAAATAAATGAAATGATAATAAAAATAGTCGTATCGTTTTTAGCAAAATCGTATAAGCATATTCCAGGGCATAATATAGGCTAATAGACGTGGATTTATTACAGTGTTGCTTAGTTTTTTGTAAGCAGCATGAAGTTCTTATACGGTGATAGGCTATTTTAGGCTATATCGTGATAATTAAAAAAGTTAAGTTGATTGATGTGCAGTTGTGTTGGAACTTGGAAACAACACAAATTTAACACATCGAGACTTAAAATTATGCCGTAATAAAATAAAATCATATGCTCCTCAGCACATAGGCCTATTTGAACTCTCATAAAATGTTAGTAAGATATTTCCCAACGCGGTCGTAAAAATGACAGTGGATTTTTTCGTTATAGGCTACATCATCTTCTTAGCAAACCAATCTGTGTTACCTTAAATTATATTAAGTTTACCTCTGTAAAGCTGCTGTGAAACAATCTAATTGTCAAAAGCGCTATAAATGAGGATGACTTGACTTGACTATAGAGATTAGCCAACATCTGTTTAACATCACAATAAGTTCAGTCTTTTCCTATAGGCTACTCAGTTTTTATTATTATTATTATTATTTATTTATTTTTAAGATTGATTTTCTTGAACTTTTAGACCTATTTTAAAATAATTTAAATAGCTAGGCTACAAGCTGCCTAAATTTTACGTCAGCAATTAATGTTTAGAAGTTTTTTATTTTTTTTTATTTTTTACTATTGGTATCTGGTAGGTTTATACTGCATGCACCGACCCATTTATCCTATAGAGATATATCGACCGAGAGAAAGCACTGGATTTTTAGAGGTGTCATGGCCACGTGACATGGAAGTGCTCAATTGCGAGCGCGAGCTCAGCGGCTTTATCCGCGCCACGGTATAATATACATATATATATATATATATATATATATATATATATATATATATATATATATATATATATATATATATATATATGAAGAGTTCAGATGCAAAAGCCTCTAAATGCCATTTGAAATTTTCTTCTTTAATGATGATTTTTATCAAACTTGTATATTTAAGTTCAGTAATTTCACTTAAATAACAATTAATAGGTAATTATCATTGCCATTTAAGTGAAATCACTGAACTTAAATATACAAGCTTGACAAAAATGATCATTCTAGAAGAAAATTTCAAATGGCACTTATGCTTTTGCATCTGAACTCTTCATATATAGGCTATTTACTTAAATCTCCCACTTTTTTTGTTTAATTTGGACTTGGTCCCATGTTGTTGCACACAAGCATAAAATGACTCTTTGAATGAACATTAAAAAAAATCATGGAAAGGATTTCCACATAATTAACTTGTTTTATTTCAGCATTATGGAATTACGTTATTCCAATTTAATGTGCTTATGTTGTCAAATTAATTCATTAAGGTTGATTCAACTTATTAACTATGGTTAGGCACAGCTTAATTATGAATTTAAAAAGGCTCCCTTTCAGGTATTAATTCATCCAATGCTATATAATTAATTTTAGTGTCACAATCAATTTATATAGTCATAGCACTTTGCATCATAATTAATAACATCTACTTGTTATATCTTCCAAAGCATATGATGTAAATATTGCTGAATCAGTCTTCACCAAATGGTTTAGCTACTCTTCTCCACAATGGTAACCCATAATTGTAATTTAAATGGTTCAGTAATTGCAATGTAGTTTAACATTAAACACAATTACCCACTACCAAATCTTCCCCTCTTCTTATTTTCTTAAAAACGCATAAAATAACACTTAATTTTACCATGTATTTTCTCTTAATTCAACCATATGCAAAGCATGCTGGGAACTAACAAGCACCGCCGTTTCAATTAATGCAACACAAATCAATCATGTAAGCAAACACAGACGAATTAAGTAAACTCAAATTGTACATATATTTAAGCAGATTGAACACAATCAAATTAATTTGGGGCAAAATGGCAGTTGACTGACTCGCACTACACTGCCACCCTCTGGATGTAAGATTGTTTTACTTAATGTAAATGGTTTGTGTTTAGACAACACGTTAGGATATTGTACTGTTAAGTTGAGACATAATTACATACACCTTATTAGAAAAAAAAACATTTCAAGTCAAAAAACACAATTATTATAAGCCAAATATAAATGTGCACAACCTTCCTAGTTCATTTTTTGAGTGTATCTATATTTATCTGTTTAAAACAAATCGATTTTGTATATTTTTTTTTTAATAATAAAATAGTGTGAAAAAAATTGTCTGAAACAGTGTGTGAATTTGGGATACAACTTCTGTGATGAGGGAACTTCATGATATGGGGGAAAAAACCAATAATTTATGATTACAAAAGCAAATCAATAGAATATATTGCTAGTTTTCTTTTCTTTTTCTTTCTTTTTTTAAATGTGAAACCCATTCAAAGCTGCCACAAGAAAAATATATATATATATATACTGTATAGTGTAATATTATATTATATATTTTCTTGTGACTGTTTTGAAGGGATTTCAAATATATAGCTACACAAATATAATCAGTCAATTATGGCAGAAACTCAGTGCATTTAGGCATGTGTCCTCAAGATCATCTGCTGAAGTTCAAACTGAGCATCAAAATTGGGAAGAAAGGTGATTTAAGTGACTTTGAATGTGGCATCGTTCTTGGTGCCAGATTTGCTGGTCTGAGTATTTCAGAAACGGCTGATACTGTGATTTTCACTCACAACCATGATCCGAAAAAGACCAAATTGTTGGTGCCAGAGGTCAGAGAAGAATGGCCAGACTGGTTCGAGCTGATGAGTCTACAGTAAAGTTAAGTTAAATTAAGTTATTAATAAATTATTACTTAAATTAAGTTAAGGCCAGTATACTGTAGACTCATCAGCTCGAACCAGTCTGGCCATTCTTCTCTGACCTCTGGCACTTAAGTTAAGTTAAGGCCTATACCTTAACCTAATACTGCAGGAGTGAATGATTGTGACGTGTTTGTCGTTTGCTCCATCTAGTGGACAATTGAAAATCTACACTGTCCTCTTGAAAAAGCCTGACTCTCACCGCCTAAAGCAAGATTAAGTTTGTTTCATATCTAATTAGACACAGCTCTTTCCTATATATTGAATATGTCTTCATTCAGACTGCTCTGTTGGCTGCAGTGTTTAAAGTTTAAACCAGTTGAACATCACCTTGTCCAGAATGTGAGACCAAAAGATGAGAAAAGACCAACAAACCAGCATCCCTTTACAGCATTCATTCTCCCAAACATATCATGGATGTATTTTTAACCCTTGTTGAAATCCATCATTTATGGCATCATGCTTCCTGCGTGTAATTATGCGGAGGAGGGGTCACTCAGCGAACGCATGACACATGTGTGGTTGCATCTTCACATCCTCAGGAAATGTGTTTTTTAAGAGAGTAGCGGGTGTTGATAGATTTCAGATCGCTTGCAGCTGCTCTCACAAAGTGCTTCAAAGTGAAGAAGAGTCAGATGAAAGAACGTCACTTCATCTGTCACAGACATCTTCATGGGACAGAGACACGTGTGCTCGTCCCGAAATACAGCCGAGGTCATAACTGCACGCGCTAGTTTCCTCAAGGACTTAACCTTGTGAGTATTTGTCTATATTTTTCTCACTTTTTTTTGCCATGAGAAAACTGACTTTGTTTTTCCTGTGGTGGATAGTTTATTGACATGATGAAAGATAAAGTTATGCACATAAAGCTATAAGTGAAATACTTTCATATTAGCTCATAACCACATAATTCGCGCATGGAGTTAGCACTTTGAAGGCCATTCATTAACACAAATGCAAAAAACTGGATTGAGAAGTGACAGCTGTCAGTCAAATGTTATGTATACCATATAGGCAGCAGAGTTTCTTGTCAGTTTGTCTCCCGTAAAATTAAACATTAAAAAAATAAATAAATCATATAGTTGTACATTGATTTTACAGTTAATTTAATTGCCTCTTGGCTTTAAAGAAATGATGCATTTTTGTTACAAGCTTGAGGGAAAAATATATTTTTTTTAAAAAATGATTGGCCTAGACGCTTCATATCTTAAATTCTAATCCTCATCCTGATCTGGGGCTTAATGGTAAATGTAGCAATTAAGATGTCTTAAGATCTATGACCCCTAGCAGTTATTCAAGGAATGGTTAGTCCTACTTTTCAGTATCAAATTAGGCCTAATGTATGTTTTTATGTAACTGACTGTCTTTTTTGATGAC